GATAGTTTCGAACCGCTATGGTTATTTAACCGTTATGCGGCAGTATGGCTATATCAGACTTGAATGTTGATCTTCAACAACACCTTTGGATCTTCAAGAGAATTATTGGGAGCTCTTGAACTTGAGAGTTTGATATATAAGGTGTCTTTTTGGCTGTGAGAGCCCCTATTTATAAGTGTAGGAGAAAGAGTTTTAGTTGGTAAGTTTTCTTTCTGGAATATTACTCTCTCTAGAGTACAGTTCACTTCGTGAGATTGGGGAATACGGTTTCTCTGCGATTTTCACCTTGCTTCTTCCTTCCTTTGTGGATTTTGGGGTTAGGATTCCTCGTGTCTCTCCTTATGCTCCTTTCGTTCGTTTGTGTTTCATTTTGCTGGTGGGTGGGAAAAGAGGTTGGGTTTGTTTATTATTGTTGTCGGTCTGGGATGTGAAAAATCTTGCAAGAAAGGCGTATCAAAATAAAATCAGATAAATGTAATGAAGAAAAAAAGAGAAAGAAGAGAGGGATAAGAATCAAATGATACAGTAGGGATAAAAAGGGAAAAAGGCAAATAAGAAGTTGTTATAAAGAAAAACCAGAGTAGTGTTTTAGGTACTGGGATGGTCTTATTATCTATAACCAACTATCCTTGGTATTCTGAGGACTTAAGCAGGCAAACTTGTGCACCCAGAAAATACAAGGAACCTTGAAAGATAAGTATGGGGATTATGGCGGATTACCACACCATAGTCATTATTACTTCTCTTTCAGATAGAGCATGCGTGTCATTTTACATACTATGAATTCCAAGTAGATTTATGATATGACACACCACTTATGTATTTCAATAAAGTGGGTCTCAAATATTAACCAAGTAGATTACCTTACCTGGGTCATGGGAAACAAAGTCAGGCGGCGGCAGGAGTCGAACCATGCATCTTCAGCTCTTTAGAGAGATAAGTTACCTATTACTATACACCGCCATAAGATGATTGGGATCTTTATTATGTGTATCTTTTCCATAAAGCAAAAAGATGTAGTATTAATATTAATTAACCTATATATTGGTTAAAGTGTTTCGTGTTTTAATGGTTATAAGATAATCTTTAATATTGTTAATACAGTATATGAAGAATAATATTGTTAATACAGTATATAAAGAATATAGTTATAAGAAATGGTTATAATCTCTTAACTTGTCTTAGGTTTTTCAGGGTTGTGGTAACGGGGAGAAGGGAGGGAGGGGGAGAGGGGGCTTAGGTTATGGAGAAGGAGTTTGCGGATAAGCTAAAAAAGTTGTTCTTTCTGAGAAGGACTTAGTAGGGGTAGAATTAAAGAATTAAATGTGGCCAAACTCTTCAGGAATATAGGCTAAGCTTAATAGAAAATGTGTTCGGAGAGAAAAAAAAAATCAACTTCATTGGTCTGAAGGCCACTTTAAGAAGTATTTGGAGTACTAGATCTCCATTTTCTATTAGATGTACTGGTTTTAATCTTTTCCAGTTCTTGTTTCACGCGTGGGAGGATCTAGAAAAATCCTTATGGCATGATTGGTATGAGGGAATGACATGGAATGGAATGATCATTCCCTTGCTCATTCATTATCCCATGATTGATATATTTTTTGGAAATGAATGTTCATTCCAATGGGAATGACAAAACTCATCTCCATGGGATTAGCCATTTTATAGTTCATGGATGGTTTCTCAATCCCATGTGTGTAGGAATCAATTTTTTTCACAAAATAAAATTAACAAATAATAATAAAATATAAAAATATAATATATATTATAAATAATGATTAAAATATATTAAATAAATTATTTTAAAAAATAAAATTTAAATAAAAATATTAAAAACTTACTTTTATTTATTGTTTAATTAGATATATTAAATACTTATATAAAAATAAAAATAAAAAAAGCATTTATATATAATTTGAAAATATATTATTTTATTTTTATATATAATTAAAAATATATTATTAAAAATATTAAAAATATATATTATTAGAAATATAATACTTTTATTTTTATATATTGTTAAAAATATATTATTTTAAAATTCATGTAAAAAATTGAAAACTTGCTTTTATTTATTGTATAATTAAAAATTAAAAATATATTACTTTTTATTTTTATATATTATTTATAATATATTATTTTTATATTTTAAAAATATATTACTTTTAAGAATATATTATTTGTTATATATATTTTAAAAATATATTATTTTATTTTTATATATTTTTTAAAAGATACTATATTTTATATTATTAAAAAAATTATTATTTTATTTTTATATATTATTAAAAATATATTAATTATTTTTATATATTATTAAAAAAGCATTTATATATAAATTATTAAAAATATCTTTTTAAAAAAAAAAAGCTTTTATTTATTTTTATAGTAAAAAATAATAATGTCATTCCATTCAGTTCTTATTCCTTCTGCATACCAAACGCATCAATGACAAAACTTGTTTCATTCTATTCTCATAGTCATTAAATTCTTCAATTCTTTCCATTCCTACGACCTTTCATTTCATTATACCAATCAGGACCTTAATGGCATAACGTGGTCGTTTGACAATCAGTATATCCTGCTGAAAAAAGGTCCTTGGGACAGGTTCAATTCCTGGAAGAAGAGATAAAATTAATGTGTCGATGAAAATCAACAACCTTCCTCTACATGGGTGACCTGTGAAATAGGATTGAAGATTGGTCATCTGGTAGGTAAGGTGATTGTTGTCCTTGTCCCCACTGCTGGGAGTTAGGAAGGACAGATAGTCAGAACTCTTGCGGAAATGAAGTTATCGGAACTGATCCTAAGAGGGGCCAATATCAAACTTGGAAATGAGTGTTGGTCGATTTCAGGTATGAACACCTCCATACTTTTGTGTATTATTGTGGTAAAATTGGGCATAGTGATAAAAATTATGCTATAAAAAAAGATGATGTTAATAGAGGTGTGGTTAACCATGGGCAATTTGGGGATTGGTTAAAAGCTGCATCTAGCAACTTTTTTGAGTCTAGGAGAGGTAATTCCTCAACTGGGGTAGTCTTAATGTCAAGAGTGCGGGAGGTGGATCTAATTGGTCTTATCTAGAGTGACCAAGGAATCAATTCTATGGTCCCTGATAAAAGGATTTTGAGCCTGAGGCGTATGGTAAATCGAAGTTTCTCAGAATCAAACTGTCATGGAACTGATCATGTTATTTATTCAATACATTGTTACTTGGACTAGGACTTAATATATTAATAATAGTTAATATTCATTTTAGTTAAATTTATTTTTTTATTCATAATAAAAATAATTTTAAATGTTACATAACTTATTTAAAAATCGTACAAATCCTACCCGTTCAAGTGACTGGTGTTGATCGGTTCACAAACAAACATTTTATTAAAATAAATTGAAGTAGTCGATAAATCGACTCGCGATCCACTCGGTTGGACTATTCAATCTGGTCCAATTTTGAAAATAATGAGTAAATCATGATTATTGTTGTTTATATATTAAATTTATAATACAATCGTAATATTTTCACCGTGAACCGCACGGGCCACATACTAGTTACTTATTTCTATGTTTTAAATAATTGTATGATAATTAGTACCTAACTTAGTCCCACATCGGACACTTAAATTCATAACCAGCCTATATAAGAAAGTATGAGAGGTAGGTTGAATATTTTGGGGAAATTTTCAAGTTTCCTACAAGAAATAAAAAATATTGCAAAAATACCGTTCATATGTAATATATTGTACATCTACCTAATTTGTAAAAATATACTACATAAATCCCTAAAAATCAGTTACAAATAAGTCAGCTCTCATTTACTTTTTCAATCCATGATTTACGCCCTTTTAAAACTGACAGTTGCCATATCTCTCCCACTTTTTATGGGCTTGATTAAGAGAGAGAACTGAAAAACATGAATATAATAAATAACTGACTCATTTAATTTCGTAATTCTTGGAGCTGTCCCAGTAGGTATATGTTGAGTTTATGTTGGTATATATTCAGTATATACTAATTCGCGCAGAAGTGTGGCATATGTTAAGTTTATGTTGGTATATATTCAGTATATGCTAATTCGCGCAAAGTTGTGGCATATGTTAAGTTTATGTTGGTATATATTCAGTATATGCTAATTCACGCAGAGGTGGGTGTTATCTTGGTGGGTATATGTTGGGTTTATGTTGTTATATATTCAGTATATTGTCTTTTATATTGTCTGTGTATATTGTCTTTTATAAACATATTGTACATGTTACTTAATTTAAACGAAATTTCAGACCAATCAGTTTATGCAATTTTCGGCATATATACCGAATACATACAAAAGATATACTGATTTTATACATAAAAGTATTGCATATACCAAACATATAGCAAAAATAAACCATTTGATAATAAAAAACGACAACAAAAAAATATCGCATATACCAGACGTAACATAAAAAAAAACGACAATAAAAAGGTATCGCATATACCAAACATATACTGTACATATACTCCATCCAGTGTCTTCCAATTTCAACGTAATGACTAATCTACACATAATCCAAAACCCTAAAAAAATCAAAGCAAAATTTAAATTTCCTGCAACCAACTAATCATCTCCCCCAGATTGTGGCGACGCCGAAACCCTCTTTAGAGAACGCCATCGTCGGTGGAGGGAGTAGGACTCCATATAAACCGATTCTCGCATCGCTTACATGTAGATGACTACCGCGGGAACAGATCGATAGACGGTCTCGTCGAGGGAGTAGGACTCGGTGGAGGACGGCGTTGAAGGGGACGTACTTGGCTGAGAAGTCGGGCGTTGTGTTTCATCCCCTTCTTTCGCCGGTATTTTTCGAGGATCGCGAGTGATTTTTGTCTTCGCCATTTCAGTAGTTTGAGAAATCGATGGTGATTTTTTTTGTTGAAGAGGAAGTTTTTCTTCGCCGGCGTTGAAGAGGAAGTTTTTCTTTTCTTTGGAGGTAGTGAACGTGGGCGGTGGGGGGATCCTTTTTGTTGGAGAAGAGATATTGCATATTAAAGATGTCCATAAATTGTGTAACTTTCCTTTAATTATCTGATAAAATTTAAATTGTTTCTCTTAGGTATATTAGCAATATTTTAGGCTTAGTTAGGTAATTGTATAAATATTTATATAATGGATGTATAATTATAATATATTTTAGATTGGTGGGTACAGAGTGCAATTTCCTCTAAAAAAAATGTTTCAAACCTGAAAAATTAAATTTATCAATTCCTGAAAAGTGAAAACAATGTAACCATATAAACGAAAAGTATTTGGGTATAAATAAAAACATATTAAATGAGATGTCCGTTACGGGACCATTTCGTCGAAATTTGTAGCATAACGTTAAATTAAATATCCTCAACAGTTACATGATGATCTAACGGGATTTGAATTTGTAGCATAACGTTAAATTAAATATCCTCAACAGTTACATGATGATCTAACGGTTACAAATCCCGACAGAATGATGCTGTAACGGGAACCGTAGTATTTCCCATCAAATTTTTCATCCCACTTTAATTAATAAAATATATAAAAAAATCATGAATAAAAATACATGCATATGAATAAAAATATATAGATTTTTATTTTTATACTCAAATTGATAATATAAAATATATTGCGTCTGGAAGTGATATATTTTATCTTTTAGTCATTAATATTCTTCTTATTTTTTGAGTATTAAGTTAATAGTTTTAAGTCTTTCAAAGTATCAAGTCGATATTATTTATCGTAAGTCGATATTATTTTCAGACGCCAAAATAATAGTTAAATTATGGGGAAATGTTAAGAGCATGCTTGTTTATAAATTTTTTTTTGGTTTTGATTGGGGTTTTGGTTTGAGTTGGTTAAATTTGAAAAAGTCGGTATGATTAATTGTTAGTGGGTATATTAAAATAATTTTTAAAATAAAATGATTAAAATTAAATTGATGTAAAAGTAGGAGAGATAAGATGTGATGTGATGTGATAGTTAGTTAAAATTATATGAGTAGATGAATAGTAAATTAAGGTTGATGTTGTGTGTAAGAATGATTGATTGATATTATTTAATTATATTGATAATATTGATGATAGTGAGTTGATTTATTGATATTATTTAATTATATTAATGATAGTGGGTTGAGTTAAAGTTGAGTTAAAAAAGTGGTTGAGTTAAAAATGATTATAATTTTTTGGATTGATTTTATAAACAAGCATCCCCTAAGGTCCTTTTACAGAATCATTCCACGGGTTTTGTAAATGTAGATCATTATGTAATCGTGAGAGATAGTTGATCTAACAGTTAGAAACTCCGACGGACATTGATAAATTTCTTATATAATTAAAAAAAAATAAAAGAAAAAATAAATAAAAAGGTTTTTGTAGAGTGTACGGCGCTCCATTTACGCAGACCTCCTTTGGCCTCCACTCCTCACAGGCACCTCATCAGATTCAGATTACTGTAACGTAATCGATCGATCAATAAAATCAAAAGCTTAACTAAAGAGAAAAAAAATAAGCAGTGGGTACATTATGACTCACTGGTTTTAGTGCTTCCTTGTCGTCCCTGCTTTTCCCAAAAAAAAAATAAATAAATAAAAATAAAAAATCTCCGCCCACAAATTCATCGTACACGTTTTCAATTTCACTCGTCTTACCGCAGATTTTGGTTCTTGATCCATGCTATACCTATGTCCTTACCTCAATAGCTGAAGTTTTGTACTACACAGATGAATTCAACTAGAGAGTTTGTACTTTTAGTGAATCAGTGTGAATCGTTCTGATTTTTTCCGATTGTTCAGGTTGGGTCGATCGATAATCATCTCGAAACTCGTTTTCCGATCGAGATTCCGATTTGGGGCTGGTGGGTTCTCGATAAAGTTTCGATCTTTGACATTTCACGGGCTGAAACGAAACCCAAATGGTATTTCTCCACGGCCCGATCCCGGCTGACCGGCAACTGAGCATGGCTAAATCTGTAAATTCACCGGACCCATCTCCCAAATCGAAGCAGATCAACCAGCTTCACAAGAACAGAAGGATTTCTAGTCCCGATTGCGACCAGTCCCCGTACGCTATAATCGATGTAATAATCCTGATTGCTGTGATTTCAGCTTCTTGTTTCTTGTTCTATCCTTATGCCATGATATTAGCCCGTAAATGCCTTGAAATTGGTGGGGAAGTTGTTGAAGTTGTTATTGAGGAGATCACTCGTGCTCCTATGGTTTTTGCCTGTTTAGGGCTAAGCATATTTTTCGCCTCGATGGCACTTGTGGTGATTGCCGTTTATACGGACAGTAGGTGTGGAAAACCGGGCTGTCGTGGGCTCCGCAAAGCTCCCGAGTTCGATATTCAGCTGGAGACCGAGGAGAATTCGAAGAGATCATTGGAGAAAAACGGGTTTCTCAAGGGATTGCACGAAGTGCACCATAAGGAACTTGAGGCAGAGCTCAAGAAGATGGCGCCTCCCAACGGGAAGGCAATTCTGGTATTCCGAGCAAGGTGTGGATGTTCGGTTGGCTGGATGGAGGTTTCCGGGCCTAGGAAGAATCGAAAGGTTAAGAAGTAGTTGTGAAGATTACTTCTTTTTTTTTTTTTCAAGTGAATACAGAATACAGTTACATATATATATAAACTATAAAAAGCATGTTTGACATTGAAAGCTGCAATGTAGATATGAATAAAGCTCTCAATAGGGTACTACAATGGAATAAGTTGGCTTGAACCAGATTATATATATATATTGAACCTTTTATCTTACTTTCTTTATTAGCTTTATTGTTTCTATTGATCTATTTTCGTGTTCTTGAGCTGCTGAGAAAATTAATTGTCTTGTTTGTTTGCTTATATGGTTAGCTTTTGTAAGTCAAGAATGTGGTGTATTGTGTTTGGTTTTCTGTTCTTTCACTCGGGATTAAGGTGTGCTGTGACTTGAGAGCATTTAACTATTAATGTATGCTTTTTGCTAAAATTTGAAGAGTTCTGCACTCTACAAAAGGAATTTTCTGGCCATTTGGATGCATACACGAACAGTTCGTCTCACTTTTCAAAGAACTTTGGACCTCTACTTTAGAAATAATTGACATTTTTTTTGTTTTTTTTCCTCAACATAGGCTTTGATTTTGATTCCCCTCGAGCTGTTCTCGTTCATCTTTACGAATATTTTTTCTCTTCCCTTCAATCCTCGTGAAAATCTTGCAAGTGACTGAGCATCAAAAGAAGTGATTTTGCATGCCGCCATGGTTTTTACACATGATCCATGTAACTTTTGTACATTGCTTGTAAGTATTGTGTTTAGAATCTTTAGATATAACTCTGTAGTTTTGGCCAGAAGGGCGTAAAGTGTTCAACTTAAAAACCAACTCGAATGTGAAAATTATGTTAAAAGGTGTTAACATTATACAAGAACATTTCTTGTGTGCTTTATTCTGAGACGGTTTAGAGTTATCATGTTCGACTTTAATCGTATGTTAATTGTTATATATATATATATATTTGCACTTGGTGTAGTTACAACTGAATATTTGGATGAGTACAAAATTGCAAAGTGGAGGCTCAAGAATATGAGTTTACATTTTAAATCACACTGAGCATTCACTTACTTTGTCCATCATATTTTAACTCCTTTCAGAACACTAGTTTGATGTGCTTGCCTGCATTGAGCTGATGATGAACACATTTGCTATTTGTCAGTGTTGGATTTTTATTTTTTTATTTTTCAATTTGATTTATTGGATAAAGTGGGTTAATTTTGAAAAAAGATGGAGTGGAGCTTCGAGTTTGTGTTTCAGTACGAGTTAAACTGTAATTAATAAAGTTGAAATATTGAAATGTTCCAATGTGAATTGATGGATTCAAAATATTATTAAAAATTTTGTGATATTATTTAATATATTGATAATATTGAAAAGATTTAAGTATTAAATTTGAGTTTGATTTTGATTTACATCTTTCTATTAAATCATGGTTCCGGTGGGGATAAATTATCTGGTCAGCCAAAACCAAAAACCTTAAATCAAAATTTTCCAGTATCCTTCTAATTACAAAAATCAAAATCTACTGATTTGTATCTCATAAAGTTCAGAGCTGTAAACGAGGAACATCGAGTTTGAGCTCCTGATACTCAAGTGTTGGCTCTTAACAGTACAATAATCAAACTCGAGCTCAATTTGTCAACGAGTCGAATTATGTTATAAAATCATGAAATTAAGTAATAAGTCGAATTGAACGACGTCAACGAACTGAGCTCGACTCATTAACTAATTGAGCCATAAACGAGCTCAAGTCTTAACAATTCGAGCCGAGCTCACGAGCTGCTCGTTTCGTGTAGCAATTCTACGTGTACTTGATAAGCATTCACAATGAAGCATGGTTTGGTAAACATTGTCATAGACTTATAGTTAGCTGATCATAATTAATATTATCTATTTTTTCAGAAGATTCTTATTAGTACAAACTCTTCCATTTGCAGCAAATAAGGGGGTGATCGTGTACAAAATAATTTACTCACTTTTATTTCAACTCAAAATCTAACTCAACTTTAATATTATTCATATAATTAAATAATACAAACAAATCATTCTTATATATCACATCAACTTTAATTTACTATTCATCCACTCACATAATTTTAACTACCTATCATTTCCAATCATTTCCAATCATTTCCAATCATTTAATTTCAACAAATTAATTCATAAACAATCAAGCCCTAAATTTCACATTTAATTTTTGCATAAGAAATAATATTTTTCTTTTTATTTAATAAAATACACTTTTTGGCTACGTATGATAATGGTAATGGCCCATTCATGTGATGCGCTAATAGTAAGACAATCATTATCCTCAACCTAATCCAACACAACCTAACAATTAAAAATTATTTCTCTCTCCTCTACCTACCTGGTAACACAAAACTCCTCGACCGGCTGGAACTTGAGTAATCGCCTTCCTTCTCGCCGGTTGAACGTCGTGTACCTACAAAGAACTCTCACACCGGAGGGGTTTTCCG